ACTAGTTAACAAGAAAGTATACATATTTATGCAATGTATCTTGAGCCATTTCTATTATGTTAATCACAGTAAAGACATAATTCCTACAAAACACATCCCACTAATACATAGGACATAATGTGTCAACCAATCTAGACAGACAACACAATCTTACACCCACTTTTCTTAAACAGCCACACGGGAAAATCTGGATTACAGCTTAGATCACAGGAGTTGAAAACAGATTAATGGGAGAAATCATATAAACCAATCCACATAGTTCAAAGACATCCACTGCTGTAAACATCATGCATAAAGAAAGAAAAAATATTAATTCTGTAAAATAACAGCCACCAACACATAATGGAAATTATAGAAAAGAAAATCATGCAAAAAAGAAATAGTATGATGCTTAAAATAAACATTTGGTTATCCCATGGAGTCCAAGTCACAGCACAGTCTGGGAAGTGTCAAAGTACATGCAACTGCTCAGGCATTGCCATTTTTTTGTTTGTTTGTTTGTTTCACAGATGATGCCACCAATTCTTATTCTTATGTTTATACTGTAAAAATTATGGGTTTTGGTGATAACTGTGTACCACAATGAAGGAAACATGCACTCCATGGGTTAATATAATGTATATCTACAACTGGGTGCTTAACATCTCACAAGATCATCTTACCCTCTTGTGTGTCTATGGCAGAAAGAGTAGATGTGGTTAAGAAGAGAGAATAAATAACTTCATAGAATACCCTGATACTATCCATACCTACTATACCTCACAAGGACTAAGGATTACTTCCTAAGCTTATTTTCTATCACGAGAGATGCTCTTATTTAATAAATTTTCTCAACATTTTCTAATGATACAGAAGATAACATGAACAACATTCATTTTAGCATAAAACAAAACTCCTTTTGCTAACTTTTTTTTATTCCAATTTCTTTGAGAAATTTGTAATTTAGCCAAAAGTTGCCATTTAGAATATCAACATTGGGGTGAATCTTTAATTTTCTTAAAAGGCAAATATATTAACCCCTTAATCTGGATGACATGACCATCATGTCATAAGAAAATTTGTTAGAGAGGCAGGTGACATATATATGCCATCTGGGGAACATCTGGCTGCAGGCCAGATGATGCTAACTCACTGTCATGAGTATTTCACCTCAAGGTCGGGGTGACAGAAAAGACTCGCCATGATTACACAAACCTCTTGGAGGGTGATTAGACTCATTTGGTATTTAGGAAGGGTGCTTTTCCATTATTCCCATTGATAAACGAGTGTGGAATGTAGTGTCCATGAGACATGACTGATAAAGTTCCAGGGAGGACATTTCCATGCTCAGCATCTTATTTAGGCCACCTTGACTGGCTGTGCATATTGTATTACAGAAATTGAATATCATGAAAAAGTACACATATAACAAAATGTTATATATTTTTATTTTTATTGAATTGAGTTATGATATAGAGTTAGTGCAAGGAAAACAATCTATTACCATCTGAATAGAGCAAATCAAATAACAAATCTGGACATTGAAAAATGGCAAAAAAGCTAAAGGCACTGATCCATAAAACAAGAAAATAACATTATAAAGCAGAGGCTTAGTCTCTTGTCACCGCACTTGAGTGTTCGTGTGTGCCTGGCCTACAAGCCATGCCCCATCAGAGCAGCAACTAAATTTTTCTCATTTCTTTCACTAAGGAGTATTGTTTCACGATGGCCTGTAAAGGTATCTCTTAAGAGGTACATTTATAGAATGACAAAAACACAGATTATTAGCTTCATTTCTTTAAGACAAATATGGTAATTCAGATGGGGTGCATCCCTGCTTCCCTTAACATTGCTTTACAGTTTACCTATCCTTTTGCTACAAACACATGATGCAATACAATTCAACCATTTTTACATATTTCCACAGATAAAATGTTAGAGAAAAGTGAAGGAGGATTTCTGAAATAACAAACAACCTGTCCAGTACTCTGATCATGAGTACATATTACCTTTTGAGTATTGTGCAAGTTTCATTATAGAAATGTTCCAGGCATAACTAAAGAGTCAAATAAAGGAGTTTTACCACACTATAAAATGTACACATACATCTCCCAGTGGTGACCACTGTATAGGTCATGGGAATTTCAATGTTCCCACCTTGCAGCAAGGAGATATCTCCATGCTACAGTGTACACCATAACCATGTGCAATAGTTATCTGGGGCTATGGGAATGCATAAATAGTATGAAAAAAGTTAATAATTTGTGATAAAAATGTAAATCAATAGGTCTCTGTGTTTATGCAAAAAATATGTTAAATTTGTACCTGACATTACATAAATTAAAATCTAGCTGAAGCTCCTGCTTTTATATACACTCTGCCCTCTACTATCACACATTCTGATATCATGAATCACTGCTACCCAAAGTCACTATTACTTGCACAAAAATTCAGTGAAATGGTTGGCTTGAAATCATTTGGGCTGTATGACATAACTGACTGGCTATCAGCTGTTGTTAGTCACTGATTGGTTGATGGAGTTCCTGCTCTCACCACTCAACAGGCAGCACTACTTTTTGACAAGATGTATGTGCATGACCTTGACCAGGATATAAGTTCTGATATGTGAGATGCAAGCCAAAAAGTAGTCATCACATGAGCCTGTCACTTCACTCATTCCTTCATTAAAATTGAAAGTAATTGTGACTGCCTTTTATGTTCTTAAGAAATTCAGCATTTACTCGGTTGTTTTAGGTTCAATGAGACCATCCAAGAGGTCGATAAATAGCCAGGGGGTCAGTGAATTATTCTCAATAATAATTTAGAAAAATCTGAAGAATATCAGGTAGTTAAAATTATATCAGTTCCTTTAGTTTAGACAATAGGTCACAATTTCAGTAAACCTTCAGAAATTTCATACCACCTCTTATTGTCTCTCGCAGCTCTACTGTCTGTAGAGGATATAATTCAGTCTACTTTCTGTACTGAGCGAGTGAGGGTATCCCCCATCCCCTTCCTTCTTGCAAAGAGGAGGGCCCGGAGTTCAATATACTCTTTGCTCTCAATGTTGACAGTGAACTGATTTTTATGGCTTGAAATTGGAAATTGTGTATAGTAGACATAATGCTGCTGTTTCCTTTTCATCAAAATATATTGTTTTTTTTTCTCTTTGAATTAAAAGATAGGGGATCAATAATTAAATTCCATTGTGGGTCAATGTGTTAAAAAGCTTGAGAACCCCTGGTTTAGGGAAATGCATTATCAAAATGTCTGGGTAGATCACCTGCCCTAGAACCAATTACAATTATTGCCATTAATTCTCATGTTCCACTACCACAAATTTACACTAACACATGGAGCAGTACAAACAATTAGATGTGATGGCAGAGTTGGGTGTATACAAATCTGCAGAGTCCTTTAGCTTATTTCTCATCAATTCCATACATTTCTCAAAACTAGTCCAATCAAACTCAAAGCAATGTCATATGAAAATTGTCTATATTTCCTTCATGTTCACTAATTCTCTTTAAAATTATATATTATGCTCTATAACAATATTAAACAACATATAAAAATGGAAATTACTCCTTCACTATTCTGCTTCAGATATTTATCGCAAAACAACAATACTCCATGAACAACTCTAAACAACAATAAAGACAAAATATCATGGCTCATATACAAACATTATATATCATCAAGCAAGTGATCTTTGTGGTTCAGTTTCATTGCATCACATTGAAGATTTTTAAAGATAATAATGACAATACAATAATATATTTTATATTGACCAGGTTATGAAGCTACTTTAAGGGAAGAGGGGATAAATGTAGAAAATGAGGCACAGCTGTCTTTAGCTGTGTTTCAAAATATTCACCGATTTTTTTGAGAAGGGCTGGAATGCAAAGAGGAGTTACTACTAGTACTGTGAACAACGAAGGACAGATATCTATTTTTTTTATAATATTTTAAATAGTAAACTTCACTTTCTTTACAACCTTGAGCTCTTATGTAACATGCAAAGCATTTTCTCATAAAATGTCATTATCCATCAGAGGAAGCATAATATTAGGTATTAATCAACAAATACTAGTTAAAAAAAGAAAAAAAAAAAGTGACAAAAAGAAAAATAAGAAAAAGAAAAAAAAGTAAAAATCACTTAACCCAATGGACCCAGATAACGCTGCGGTCACCTCACGGAAAAACTTGAGCCGAGGGGTGGGTGACAAGAACAAGCCATCAATCGGGCAAATTGGTCATGGCCAGGGTGACGGAAAAGACTCACCATGAGTGCACAAACCTCTTGGAGTGTGATATGACTCATTTGGCGCTTAGAAGGGGGCTTTGGCATTATTTCCTTCAATATACAAATGTAGAATGTAACGTGCGTAAGCAGTGACTGAGAGGACACCATTTCCATACTGCGCACCGTATTCCTAGCCGTAGTGATCAGCGGCACAAGTTGTATTATGTAAAATTGAAAGTTACAAAAAAATGACACAAATAACCAAATATTCCATATCTTTTCTTTTCTTGCACAGAGTTTACTACAGAGAACGATGATATGGAGTCTGTGCAAGGAAAATGAGTAATTACCATCTGGACAATGCAAATCAAAAGACAAACATGGACATTGGAAAATGGTGATAAAACTAAAAAAGTTTACACAAAATAACTTTGCAAAGGGGAGGCACAGAGTCTTGTCACCGTTCATGGGTGTTCATGCATGCCTGGCCTACGCATTGCATGCCCAGGATATTGACCACTTACATAACCCATTGCCCAGGATTTCAGCTCCGTGATTAACCGTGATGCATCCGGATCCAAAGGGCTAAGCATTAGATATCAGTCAAAAATAATTCCTGCACCAAAAAATTGTGATACTTCATACCTTCCTCCTGGTAAAAATAATATATACAAAAGGTAAAGTTATTTTTGTCAAAGTACTAGCTAGTTTTCAAATCCTTTATACAAAATATACTAAAAAGCTACTCCATATATGTATTTCTGTTGATACCCACCCCAGGATTAAGGAAGAGGTCAATTCTCTTGTAAAGGAGTGCTTGATTCTGACGGTCACCTAAGCAGAAGTTCTGAAGAAACTGATGTGCGAGCTCAATAAGTTCATTCATACGTTTGTCCTCCTTTTTATCATAAGGAATCTGCAGAAAAAAAATAGGAAATGGTGAGGCAAATATAACAATAATACAAAACAATGTATAATTCATTAGTGAAAGATGCAAGGCATTCAATGAAATATGTAAAAACAAAGGGAAATAATTTTTTTTAAATCAACTAATATTAATGAATTAAAAAAAAATAAAAAAATACTTTTCATTCATCAAACCCCTTACCTGAAGTAGATCCAAAACAACAGAGTGGATGCCCATGTTCCTCAAGAGTCGCTGTTCATTTCTCTTGGGTGTCAAGTGTCCATGGGCTGACTGAGTCACACACAGTTTATTCATTCTAACTAGAATCTGTAAAGCCAGGAAAAATTCATTTTTCATTCTTTTTGGATCACACTTGTTTACATAACACTATGATCCATAATTTCTATTAGACCAAGCATATTCTTCCCATATTCTTTGATAAATAAGCTTGAAAGTATTAGTATGTGATAAGATTAACTTACATGACAAAAAAAATATAAAACTTTCCTTTATCACTATATAGTGAAGCTCACAAACTTTTTTCATCCATGTCACAAGTTCTATATCCTGAATTCAACAGCCCAATCATCCAAGAATCAACTTTTTGCACTTTGATGCCTCTTTATAAGATCTTGCTAACACCCCCTCCATGCCATACCTGCTGTATGCGTTTGTAGTTCTCCAACTGGTCAGGCTCTAAGGGTGGACCAAGTCCAAGGTCAATGGCTGAACCCTGCTTGTCCTGCGATGACAACATAGGTGCAGGATGCTTCTTTGGTTTACTCTCACCTGTAATGCAACAATACATGGAGCTCACTACTTTCTCGCTACCTTGCTATCTTTCCATTTAAATAAGAAATACTGGAGATAACAATTAAAACAAACTGTGTTATTACACTTAACCAGCAAATATGATCCTAATCACAGTTATTACCATCGTCATCATCATCTTCCTTTGCCTTTTTCTTTTTCTTTTTGGTTCCACCTCCATCTTCCTCAGTGGTGCGTGGCTTGTAGACCCAGAGTTCTGATTTTTCAACCAAGTTGCGCAAATCATCCAAGTCTTCTTTTATTTGCTTGTATGATTCTACATCTCCATCTTGAACCAGAAGTTGAACCTAGAAAGCATAAGAAAAAATGAAAATCAAATTGTAATAACAGTAATCCTACAGCAACAGTTATGAATACCAACCAAACATTAATGAGTAGCAAAGACTGTGTTTGAAAGCAAACATTTTAATGGTTACTATTATAACAGGTTTCTATGCAATAAGAAAAAGAGCATTTCAAACTTACTAAAATACTGTCTTATCTCTCCTCATGAAAAAAAAAATAATAATAATAATTTTCTACCTGTTTGAAGTTTTGAAGAACTTCCTGCCTCTGAGAGAAGTGACGATAGAGCAACTGTAGCGATCGTGAGACCAAAGGTGCATATCCACTCATGACCAGATGCAACAAAACACGCAAAAACTTCTTCCCACCTTCGCCATCCAAATCTAGGCATGAGCTTTCTTTCCTGAAAAGCAATTGTCATTTTCATCACTGAACATCTGAAGCATAAATAACCAATATCAAATAACCAATTTATACTATGCTCATTAGAATCACATGTTTTTTTCCCAACACAAAGCATCTAAACATTACTCAAAAAGACTTCATAAATGCAATTCCAGCTATATATATACTTTTCTTTTTTTGAGAGCATATATAAAACAATATTAGAATATTACAGCTTCAAATAACATATTATTCTTTAAACCAAAAACTTACGTTTCATCAAAAATGTTTTGAGCCTGAGCCCAAATATTTTCAAGATTTTTATTTTTCAGGCCTTGAGAGATTCCATCTCCAGTTAAAGAACTTGGATTCTCATCAGACTCTTTCTTAAAGATGGATAATAGACAACTGATTCTGTAGTCCAAACGCACATTGAGAATGAACTGTAAATATGGGAAAAAAGATAAATCACATTCTCAGTTATTTTGTAACAAAATAATACTACACTTGAAAATATCCATAACAAACACCTGAGAAAACATAAAAGATTATTCAAATGAACCATGAGGACTATAACTATAATCAAAACCCCCATAAAACTCTATTCCAAATAGTTGAGCTACTCAAGCCATTTTCTAACAAAATAATCCATTACTTCAAGAGATCTAAAACATGTGACTGAAAAAAAGTGAGAACCATCACAAACCATCGACTTTGATAACTAATTACTAATGTAAAATTTTCAAATCAATTTCACCTCCCTATAAAGAAGAAAAAAAGTTATGTCATCAACTAACCTCTAGAATTTCTATGATCTTGAGCTTGGTGTCCATGACAAAGAGATCCTCCTTATCTGCCGCTCCTGACT